ATAGGTAACTTTTGCTTTTGGCCTTTTGCACCTCTGTTATTTTGGTTTATGCCTCAGTTAATATTTTGTTCTCTGTGATTCAGTGAGGAAGTTGGCTAGGGACTGCTGTAGGTATGGGACCGAGAATCTTGGTAGTGGTTATCCCCTTGCAAGGGCTTCTCTTCAATTTGGTAACTCGTATGATATGATGGAAAATGAGAGGGAGACTTTGCTCGGGATCTTAGGTGATCAGGTAATCTTTTGGGGACTTTCTTTTGTACCCTCAAGTATAGTCTTGAAGAGGTCATTTTGTGAAATATAGCCTTTCAGTGAACCATATAATATATATATATATATATATATATATATATATATATATATTAATTTTTCAATTAATATTTTTTAGTGTAACATTATATCTAACTGATTTACTGGTGGTTGCATTTCTGCATAAATACTTTTTGCCAAGATTAGTACATTGTACATGGAGTCTGGAATTCAACTTCTCCATATTTGTATTAGGATATTAGTTTTTTCTTTGTTTGATAAAAACAAACATAAAGACTAGCAATCATGTTCCATCCCCAATTTTCTTGCTTCTAACTCTGCTTCAGGTTCTGTATAGATCTCTGAACCACTGCGGGCACAGATAACAGGAGCTCCTTTGGAGGATGCACGCCATCTCACTCACCGGTATGATAAACTTCATCAAGAAGTAGAAGCACAGGTAATAATCTACTGCTACAATGGCATGCATGTGGTGGTATGCTATGCATGATATTTATCATAGATATCTTCTCATCAGGCTGCTGAAGTTTTGAGGCGTCGATCAAAGTTGAGGAATTCTTCTGTTTCTGCAGAGAGTTCTGCGAGGCTTCAAAATGCAGAAACAAGGTTGAAAGAACTTAAATCTGCCTTGGCAGCACTTGGTAAAGAAGCTACCGCTGCGATGTTGTCCGTTGAAGAACAACAGCAACAGATGACTCTCCAGAGCCTTCGTACAATGGTATTTCTAATTCCTTGTGGCAGTTACTCTCTTGGCAATGTGATTGCTGATTGGACTTTAATGTGCCTGACTGGTGGTTGACAATAAAATTTAGTATTATAGTATTATTATTATATATAATATAAATATAGAGCCAACCTAATAATTCATTCTAATATCAACTATATCTGTTGGATTCTAACATATCCACAGGATTCTAACATCAATATTTGTTGTTCATACAAGAGATGATGTTACATTTACAAAAGTTGTTGCCATTGACCAGAGGGTGAGCCTTAGTGCAGCCCTTGTGACCTAGAGGTCATGGGTTTAAATCCTAGGACTATCTCTACTTGTGGTTGTGTGGGTAGGACTTGCCCACAACAGATCCCACTAGGTGGGAGTCTTGTACTCTTTTTTACTGTGCCATTGACCAAGTTGCTTCCTATATGAAAACTAGGATAAGAAAAGAAAATATCTTTACACTATACTTATGGTTTGGTTGGTTATGAACTAATTAGATTTCTTGACATGATGATGATTAAAACCATAACGACAATCTAAATTCATTATAGTAACTGATGTTTGCTTAACTGAATATGTTGGTTGTGTTATTTTCTGGTTAAATTTTGTGTTGTATGGTTCTTGAACCTTGAGGAAATCTTCCTCCCCTAAACCTATTCTTGTTTCATCTGTTCCCCCTTATGGCAGGTGGATGCAGAGAGAGCCTATCATCAACATGTCCTTATTATTCTAGAGAAAGTATATACTGAGGTCAGTCGGCACATAGCCTTACTCTTCCTTCAAATCAGAAAAATAAATAAATACTAGTTCCTGTGCCCATTCTGTATTCTGGAATATATTCTAACCATTATTTAGGTTACCGACCAAGTTAATAATCTGGATCCTATATTGGATGTCATGTGGAATTAGATAACTGAGGAGAGACAACCAAAAGAGGCTACATCAATTCCACTGCCAAGAGATGGACATAATCAACCTGCAGATGAGAATACTGCTTCAAATGGCATTGATTATAAACACAACAGTCAAACAGGCGCCTACTTTTTTGCGAAGGTAAGTCATGTGTGAACATATGAATAATACTATCTCTACATATTCTTATAATGCACAGCTATATTCTTGCAGTTCACTGTAACTCAAGATGAGACCTACATTTTTTTTTGTTTTAAATGGTACCAATTTCTTATGCAGATCTTCATATTACTATTACTAGCTAATACTGATTTTTCCTGTATCAGCATATTTGAATTTATGGATATTTGTTACATTATATATATTTTAAGCCATAAAGTATTTGGCTTCTAGCTCCAAATACCTCTTTTCATTATCAAATTGTCATATACTTTTTGAGGAAGGTACTGCTGAAAACAATATGTGTAAAATAATGAATGTTATGAGATCATTACATTCACGTTCATACACAAACATTGACGATTCTTTGTGCAAAGTATTTTCTGCTAATAATAGTGTTCTTATCTTTCCCAATTATAGCATAATTGTCTCACCTTAGGTCTAGGACAAAGAAAACTTGTACAAAATAAAAGTTTGTCTCGTCATATGATATAATCCAAAATTTGTTAGAACTCAGTGCCGTGCAGTCTTCCATTTATGTTAATCTTCTAGACTGATTTATGTTCCTCATTATCTGTCTTGTAGGTGGTACATCCATTTGACGCTCAAGCTGAGGGGGAGTTAAGCCTATCAGTTGATGATTTTGTTATAGTTCGTCAGGTATTTCTTTAAGAACTGTTCAGCTATTTGTGATCCATCTTCACTCGTACTCTACATAAACAGACCCTTTGTAAGGTTACTTTTAAGCTTGTATAAAGAGCTAAAGATGGACCTTTTTTGCTGTTGGTTGAACTTGTGATTCATAAAAGCATTTGGCTTTTGATGCAGAAGCAGAGGGGCAAAGTAGAGATATCATTCAAATTAAATCAAAATTCACTTGTATAAAATATTTATTCCAAGATAAAATTACCAAAAGTGAATAATCTTTTGAAGTTAATTTATTTATTTGATTTTCATACATTCAACTGCTCTAATACCTTATATCTGTTACTTAAACATAAGAAATAGATTACTGAAATATTGAAGCTTTTCACCACTATATGTTGGTAACATGCAAATACTGGCAACACCTTTACTCCTTAATATATTATTGTGCCGAAGTGTACAATATGCATCATTTTCATACTTTAGAGATCTCACATTGAGTATAACTAATTTAGTCTAAAAGCTTGGGCAGTTCTTACTTTACTAGTTGGTTTTATGGAGTCAGAATCTAATTTCGACTAAGACCTTTTGTTGCCACACTTGATTCAGTATTTACAGAAGATATTGCGATTTTACCTTTTCAGACATTAAGTTACAGTCTATATTGCCAGTACCAGGCTAACTGATTTGAGCTGCCTTTGTCTTGTCCTTTCGGATGTTACATTTGCAGGTTGGTCCAAATGGATGGTCAGAAGGAGAATGCCAAGGCAATGCTGGATGGTTTCCCACTGCTTATGTACAGAGACAGGACTTGATACCTGCCAGTAAGGTACCAGAATAACGTCACTCAATACCAACATTGGTCTTTTGACTAGGTGAGGTGAAAATTGTATATTACACTCACGGAATAGGTGCATTTGAAAAGCCATAGCATATGCTTGCTATTATTTTTGGGTGGTTCTGTCATCTGTGCAGTGTGTTGTATATGTGATGTGAGCATAATTGCAATAGGAAATAGCTGTTTGAATATGTAGATTGATATATTATATGCATTTTCTTAGACCCTTGTGTCATTCTAAGGAACTTAGTTTTGGAGATGAAAAGCTTAGTGAGGTGGCTAAATATTATTTTTATGTGTCCATATTCTATAGGATTGTTTGTAATTCTTAAGACATGACAACAACCACTGTATTAAGAAATCTTCCGATTTATCTATATGGAAAAAGTAGTTTATTTTTTAGTTGCATGATGTCTTTCTAGTCTGGCAGAAATAAATTATGGGCCATGTTACTGGGACCCAGAAATTTAAATGGTGTTAATGGATTATCTGAAAACTAAATGAAGGTTTAGACAAGACTAGAATCATAGATTCAAATAAACTGGATTTCACACGTGTTAGCTTACAAGTTACAGGATAAGTTCCTGAAAGGTTTATCTTTGCCCTGAAATGCATAGCAGTTTCTCTATCTATATGTTCTCACATGTATGCAATACCTGCATACTCGAGCACTCAAATAAAGTTACCTGCGCTTGACGGACTGAGACAGCTAATAAATTTGGATTCATTTGCAGCTTGTTGTTTAATATCACATATTGTATCTGTACCATTTATAAAATCAATTTCTTATGCTATAACATAAGTTCTAAATATAATTACTGTGGTTGAAATTAATTTAAACACACATTCCAACCAAAAGCCTTCGGCTGATGTACTTCTAGCCAAACAGGTCTCTTTGGACAGAAAAAGAGAGCAGAAAGTCTGATAAATTCATAAATGGTTTTCTTTTTCATCGTGTTAACTTCCAAGAGGACAAAGTTAAACTATCAAGAATGTTTAGATAATTTCCTTGTAAACAGCACCTCCGAAATATGCCGTATGGCAACAGTGACATGACTTGCCATCAAAGATGAGATCGAGTATAAAAATAAATAAGATAAAGTTAAGAATGTCATGAAAGGCATATAATATTGTACTTTTATTTCTATTTACAATTTTTTTAATGTATATAGCAAAGGACAGTATTAAAAAATAATTGTACATAATCGAAGTCCCCCTACCCACAAACTAGATTGAAAATCAGTGCAATATATATTTTAAAGTTCATAACGACTCAGAAAACTAAATTATGCTTATGGTTAATCATATAACCTTGACACATAAGATTGAAGTCCAAAACAAACATCAAATTGGAACAAAGAATATTACACCACTTAATCTGCGACATATTACCAATCTGCAAACTATAGTAAAGCCACGAATAGAGTAATATAACATCTAAAATACACCAAATCGAAATAACATTGCAAAAAAAACATCTCTATTATCATTTGTATAAACTCAATACAGCCAAATGAGGTAATCCACACTAACTATGTAAAATCTTTATATTGATGCAAAGTATAACAAACGCAATATTGGGAACAATATGCAAAATGAAATTGACAGACCCACTGTCCCCCCCATAAAAACAAGGCAACAAATACAATTTTGCTTTTCTTTTATCTGAACATCAGAAGAGTAAAGTGATATAGAGACCCCAAAATTCAATGCTTCAATCACTGAGTTCATCATCAATGTCAGAAGCGTTCATTCTTGCAGATGCTAGCTTGGCCCACTGCACGATCTTTTCAGCCTCGCGGCTAACCTTCTCTTCTTCCTTCATCGCCTTCTTCAGCATCTTCTGCTGCTCCTTGATGGAGAAGCTTCCCAATGAAGACAAAATCTCGTCACCCCAATTCTCCTTACTTTTCTTCTTCTGCTCCTTCTTCTTGGGAGAGCACCACAAGCAACCCCTCCTCCGAGGAGGCGAAGGAGAAGGGGAACTTGAAGACCGCAAAGGAGAGTGCTTTTTGGAACCGTCCTTTTGCGCCGGTTTGAAAATGGAAGACATGGAACTTTTCTCAGAGGAAGAAGGGGTAAAAGGGGGCGAAGAAACAGACTCATCTTTAGATTTTTCTTCCACTCCCTTTTTGTCATGCGAAGAAGTGTACCCAGAATCTGGGTTCTGTTTGGAGGGCGAAAAATTGAAACTTGCTTCGTTTCTTGAAGTGGGGGTGGGAAATGTGCGAGCTTTGGTTGGTGGAAAGGATTTGAGGTTGCGGAAACGGGTTTCGAGGTGGGAAGGGAGGACGGAGTTGGTGATTCCGGCGCAGTTGATGGCGGAGAGTTGGTCCAACACGCATGCATCTTGGGCCAGTGAGATAATTTCTTCTATGGCGGACTCGTTGTCGGTGTCGGAGAAGTCGTAGAAACCCATGTTTTGTTGGGAATGCACTGTGTTGCTTAAGGTGAGTGTGTGTTGTTGTGTAAAGTCTGTGTGAAATGGAAAAGAGGAAGAAGAGAGACCGTAACAAGAGCGTGACGAGGTTCGGTTGCCAACGGCTAATTGGGCCGTTTTGGAGAGTGGGGCCACGCGCGTATTTTTGGGGACCCACTACTTCACATACTGCCTGTAGATACGGATACGTGGCCTTTTTTTCTCCTGAACACTATGACTTTTTATTATTATCTAATTTTACATCTTACAGTAATGAAATTAAAAAAGTATTTATGTTAATTACAGTTATAATGAGTAATTACATTGAAGAGTTAATGTGATTAAATTGATGTGTTATGATTTAATTGACAAAACTTACATTTATATATTGTTGGTACCGTTTTCTAATTGATGATATATATAATGAAATTGCTGTACAGTTTTACTACAACCAAATATTTTGTTCCATTTCCTAAAATTTTAAATTTAATAAAGTTCCTAAAATTTTAAATTTAATAAATAGGAATTCAATTCAAGTGAAAGTGTGAAATATATTAATCTTTAGTATGTATACTTTTTTGGAGATAAAAATGTAATGTTCATGGTGAAAAAAATGTAATTTATTTTAGAAGAATGAAAATTTGACATTAATGGTATATATTCTTTGGTAAAATAAAGAAATAGATAAAATAGTAAATATAACAAGAAGTATAGAAGGAAGTAAGAGGAAATATAGAATTAGGGTGGATGTAAAATTAGAGTTATAAAACAATAGAAATGGTGATGGAGAATAAAAGTAGAATTATAGTGAGTGTATTATTTACTATATCACAATTTACTTCCTTTATAAATATCTATACCATAAAATTAAAACAATTATTTGAACAAATTTTAAAATATTATCATTAATTAAATATCAACCTTATTTTTTTTAAAGGTACCTTTACTTTATCACTGATATTCTAAATATTTTCTTCTAATATTCTTAATCATATTTAAAAAAAAAAATACTATCAAAATTCAAAATAAAGTTGCCATGAAAGATCTTTTTTCTTCTTAAAATTCTTAAATTATTTTCCTCTAATTTTAAAAAATTATATTACCCAATGATAAACCAGGTAAAATACCTTTCTAACCTTTAATTTTATGAAGAAAAATATAATTTTACCGTCATTATTTAATTGGTATTAATAATTTTGACGTTATTATAAATTCCTTTTGTATCAGTAGGGACCGGACGTCAAACAAACCGGACGTCCACATAACCATGACGGGCCAGCCATGCTACCCTTCTGCTCGCTCTGGAGGGATCGGGCATCGAATAGGCCGGACGACTTCATGTCCATAATCACGCGACCTTGCCGCTCTCCATCCGGATACACTACAACTCATGCGAGACCGCCCGCTAACCAGATCGCCTATATGGACCGACTGGTTGGAAGGCCAAACTTTGGGAGACCGCCGACCACATCGTTAATTAATCAAGTTTAAGGTAAGTAATGGTTAAAAGCTATTGGGTTGAATTTTGGGCCGTGATTAACTTTTCACTAATCCCAAGCCCATAGCAAAAACTATAAATACAGATCTAGGGTGAGTGGTAGATAAGTTGTATTTACTGCACATTTATTATTGTTCTATCGAAAAACGTCATTGCTCTCAAACTGACTTTGACACACGCAAAGGAGGAAATCAAGGAGTAAGGAGTGAGAGTCAGACAGTCGAGAGGAGAAGGATGTGGAGGCATTGGACGACTGAGCCCCTACAACCGAAACACTTTTTAATTAGTATTAGTACAGTAAATTGTCTATTTCTCAACTTTATTTCTTCTCTTAAAAATATCTACATTTTTAATTAATTAGTTAATTTTAAATATATATTAATTTTTCAAATTTTTAACTGAAAATCTCACACATATCTCACATCAAAACCAAAAGTAAATAAAAAATGTTCAACTATTTTTTTAACTTAAAAATTAACTAAATATCTAAAAATGATCGACTGTCACACTTTATTTTCATATTAGTTACTTTGTCGTACTAAAATATGATTATAAAACATAATTTTAAGCACCAGATTAATTATTTATTTTAAATAAAATAAATATACATTTCACTTTTATTGAAGTAGGTTTTATTTTAATTTAAGTAGGTCTCATCCTTTCATAGTATCCATATAACTCTTATAACTTATGTTTTATTGACGAATTCTTATAAAAATGACATTTTTATAAGTTTTCCTTTAAACCTTAATTTATTTAAATTAAATGTAATTATATAAATATTTTTAAGGACTTAAGCCCCTCATCTTAAATTTAAAATATCATTAATTTAAAAAGTAATCCAATTCCATTCAAAGAGTACTATTCAATTTATAAAAATTAAATTGCTTCAAATGGGTCCCAACATCTCACCCACTACCACATATGAATCAACCAAAACCAAGACATTCTTCAAATAACACCTCATCTCAACAACTCCACAGATTTTCACATTCTTCAATCATCTGAACTTTAATTAGTTATTCAACAAATTCTGTCACCCCAAGAATTTGATGATGGAATCAGCATGTTGTTTTTGCTTCTTCTCCAGCAAGAAGAGTGTTGTTGATGGAAGGAATGGCAGAAGCAGTTCAAAAGACGTTCAGTGGGAAAAGAATGATGAGATGCTATCTGACAGAAGCACGTTTTCTGTGAAAGAACAAGAAAAGAGATTGAAGAAAGCTTTGGAAGAGGAAGAAAAGGTTAGCAAGGAAGCAGAGAGGGTTGTCCAATGGGTCAAGCAGGAATCAGCAAAAATTCATCTTTCTGCAGTCAAAACAGTTCTTAATGAACCCCAAAAAGAATCAAATGTTGTGTAAAAGATAATTGTCACTTTCTTTGTTCATTCCTTTTCAGAAATTATTGTACATGTTTCATAGTATTATGGTTTCTTTGTTGGGTGCCTTAATTTTCATTTTAGATCAATTTTTGTGTCATACATAGCTGAGATTTGTCAAGTTTAAATTGGATCGTTTAATAATTTCTGGTTTCTTTAGCTTCAAGTTATGAATCATTGGTATTGTAGAAGGAACTGTTGAAGAAAATATGCCTGTTGACTTTGTCCACAAAGGACTGTGTTGGACTTTTCAAGAGAAAAATCTATATGCATGAAGAATTGAAATTAGACTTTTATACATAATTATTGGTGAAATTAAGAAAGGTTAAAAGAGATACTATCTTAATTTCTCTCCTTTTGAAATCCACTTTTTCTAGCTAGTATTGTGATTTTATAGTTAGTCTACGATAAATTTTTAAAATAAATTAAAATTTGCCAGCAATTTTATTCAAATTAAATTGGCTAAATTTTTTTTATAAATTTTAGCGTGGACAAAAATAATTTATTCTAATATAAATTCGGTTTATTTAAATTGAATTCATGGTGAACTGTTGTTCGTTAGTTTATTTATAAATTCTAAATATTAAATTATATTAAAATATAAAAATGTTAAATATTTTTTATGTTTAAATGTATTTGGATTGTATTATATTTTTGTGATTTTAGATTATATTTAAAGTTTAATACATTTTTATTAAATTTTAATTAAAAAAATTATAATTCTTATTTTGGGATTGAAAAAAAAAACTGTATTTATAAGCTCTAAGTCTATGATATTAATGATTCAAATGTATATATTAATTGTATTTTAACATCAAAAGTATAAATTGACTTTTGTTTATTTTTAATTTTCTTTTTCTTTATAATTATTAAAACGAGACATTTTAAAATTTAAATAATGGTTATAAATAAAATAAAGAAAAAATAGCAAAAAAAAGAAAGGAGACACATAATATTTTAGTTAACACTCAATTTTGTTTGGAAAATATAAAAAAATGAAAAGAAAGAACATTATGAAGATGTAAACTTCTCCTTGTGTTATGATATGTCAGACACATCATACCTATTAACTATATTCCACGTCATGAAAAAAAAAGTGCAACACATTGCTGTGACAAATCTACGACCAATTTTGTTTGGATAATGATTAAAAAGAAAGAAAATCCAACACAGAAAAAGAAAAGTACAAAAGCAAAAGATAAACTAGAGCAATGTTCCCTCCCCTCACCTATTTCTCCTCAGATTTTATACATTTATCCTTCATTTATTAAATTCAAATGAAAATTAATGATGAGTTAATAATTTTGTAACCACCAACAACCCTCCTAACCACCAACAACCTTAAATGTCAATTGATTGTATAAATCCTAAATCTCATCTGTTATCCTACATGCATCCTCTCCCCTCTTCTTATTTTTTGACTTTCATTATTCACTTCTTCACTTGTACTGTTAAATTGTTTTCTAAGTTCAGAATTGTAAGATTATACAGTAGTGGTTGTACCCGTGCTGGTGGTGCTATAAGAGGAAGAAGGCAGTGCTGGTGGTGCTATGGACGGAGGAGGAAGAAGGCAACGAGAGCTCACGGGGTTAGTATATTATTGAAGTAAACACCTTAATCGTCGTTGGAGATGCGGTTAAGTGTGGCACAGTTCGAACGCCGGTTACACAACGCCGAAATTCAAATTTCAGCTCACCTCAACCGCACTTCGAACTGCAGTTTAGGGGTGCTGCACTTCCAAGTGCGGTTTCATTGTGTGGACTTTTTTTTTTACCCAGGCCTACAATTTCACAGGCTTGCTTATGATCATTTGATGTTTATTTGCACATTACATTCTGAATCATCTCTCATTTTTGTTGTTCGTTTATTGTGATATTATAGCTTATGCTTGCTTATGATAATTTGATGTTTATTTGGACATTGCATTCTGAATCATGTCTCATTTTTGTTGTTCGTTTATTGTCATATTATGGCTTATAGTATGTTTGAGTATGTTTGGCATCCAGTTTGATTTACATCATGCGAATGTTAGATTGACAATAAGTTGATAGCAATAAGTTTCAAAAGAGACCTAAGTGTAACTGTTTTGTTACCATTTTTTATCTTGGCTTCATATCCAAGACTCCTTTACCTAATGTCTATTAACTTTGAGTGTTGAGATACCTATTTATATGGCTTTAATCTTTAGATAACATGCTATAGTCATGTTAGATTAGATATTACAAATACATTTCCATAAGGTTACTCATCTTCATTATATTTCTTACTCGTAAATTTGAAGCAACTAAGCAAGATAATCTTCAACTAATTTTTTTTAAGTAGAGTTAGAAACAAAAGTTCATTTACCAAATTTTGTTAGATTTTTAACATATTAAAGTTATTTTAAACTATATTTATATTAAACTATATGTTAACACATATAACTTTGATTTTGTTATACGTGTTAATGAATTATTATTTCATTTAATTTTTTATTTAGTATTTAGTTTATAAAATTTTTATGTTATATTGTATTGTATCTTTTTTATGTATTAGTTAATAATTTAAGTGTTTGTTTTATGTAATAGTTAATATTTTGTTATGAACTTTTTTTGTTATTCATTTTTCAATGTTTTATACGTGTTAATGATTTGAAGTTATATTTAATTTAGAATAAGTTTAATTTGGTAATTTTTATTTAAATTTTAAATGTTTTCCTTAAATTTTTAATTATTAGTTGTTAAATTTTAATATTGTAATGTTTATTGTAGGTCGTATTTAATTATATAAGATGAATAACTATCTATTTCTCAATTCTTAAATAAATTCTGATTTTATGTTGAAATTTTCTTCTTTTCTAAATGAAGTCGGTTAGGGTAATTACACAAATAATTTTTCCACTAATCAAATCTTCCCATTACGCATCGATTTAATTGAATGGGTTCGAAAGATTGCATTCAACCTTGGGTTTGTTGTCGTGATTATAAGATCTGACACAACAACTAGTGAAGCTGGAAGAAAGACATTCATTGTGTTAGGCTATGAAAGGAGTGGGAAGTATAGGAAGCATAGGAAGTATAAGCCAGATGTTCAAGCTAGTGTGTCTGGCACAAGAAAATGTGAGTGTCCGTTTAGGTTGAGGGGTAAACCTAAAGGACACGGTTGNACAGACTCATCTTTAGATTTTTCTTCCACTCCCTTTTTGTCATGCGAAGAAGTGTACCCAGAATCTGGGTTCTGTTTGGAGGGCGAAAAATTGAAACTTGCTTCGTTTCTTGAAGTGGGGGTGGGAAATGTGCGAGCTTTGGTTGGTGGAAAGGATTTGAGGTTGCGGAAACGGGTTTCGAGGTGGGAAGGGAGGACGGAGTTGGTGATTCCGGCGCAGTTGATGGCGGAGAGTTGGTCCAACACGCATGCATCTTGGGCCAGTGAGATAATTTCTTCTATGGCGGACTCGTTGTCGGTGTCGGAGAAGTCGTAGAAACCCATGTTTTGTTGGGAATGCACTGTGTTGCTTAAGGTGAGTGTGTGTTGTTGTGTAAAGTCTGTGTGAAATGGAAAAGAGGAAGAAGAGAGACCGTAACAAGAGCGTGACGAGGTTCGGTTGCCAACGGCTAATTGGGCCGTTTTGGAGAGTGGGGCCACGCGCGTATTTTTGGGGACCCACTACTTCACATACTGCCTGTAGATACGGATACGTGGCCTTTTTTTCTCCTGAACACTATGACTTTTTATTATTATCTAATTTTACATCTTACAGTAATGAAATTAAAAAAGTATTTATGTTAATTACAGTTATAATGAGTAATTACATTGAAGAGTTAATGTGATTAAATTGATGTGTTATGATTTAATTGACAAAACTTACATTTATATATTGTTGGTACCGTTTTCTAATTGATGATATATATAATGAAATTGCTGTACAGTTTTACTACAACCAAATATTTTGTTCCATTTCCTAAAATTTTAAATTTAATAAAGTTCCTAAAATTTTAAATTTAATAAATAGGAATTCAATTCAAGTGAAAGTGTGAAATATATTAATCTTTAGTATGTATACTTTTTTGGAGATAAAAATGTAATGTTCATGGTGAAAAAAATGTAATTTATTTTAGAAGAATGAAAATTTGACATTAATGGTATATATTCTTTGGTAAAATAAAGAAATAGATAAAATAGTAAATATAACAAGAAGTATAGAAGGAAGTAAGAGGAAATATAGAATTAGGGTGGATGTAAAATTAGAGTTATAAAACAATAGAAATGGTGATGGAGAATAAAAGTAGAATTATAGTGAGTGTATTATTTACTATATCACAATTTACTTCCTTTATAAATATCTATACCATAAAATTAAAACAATTATTTGAACAAATTTTAAAATATTATCATTAATTAAATATCAACCTTATTTTTTTTAAAGGTACCTTTACTTTATCACTGATATTCTAAATATTTTCTTCTAATATTCTTAATCATATTTAAAAAAAAAAATACTATCAAAATTCAAAATAAAGTTGCCATGAAAGATCTTTTTTCTTCTTAAAATTCTTAAATTATTTTCCTCTAATTTTAAAAAATTATATTACCCAATGATAAACCAGGTAAAATACCTTTCTAACCTTTAATTTTATGAAGAAAAATATAATTTTACCGTCATTATTTAATTGGTATTAATAATTTTGACGTTATTATAAATTCCTTTTGTATCAGTAGGGACCGGACGTCAAACAAACCGGACGTCCACATAACCATGACGGGCCAGCCATGCTACCCTTCTGCTCGCTCTGGAGGGATCGGGCATCGAATAGGCCGGACGACTTCATGTCCATAATCACGCGACCTTGCCGCTCTCCATCCGGATACACTACAACTCATGCGAGACCGCCCGCTAACCAGATCGCCTATATGGACCGACTGGTTGGAAGGCCAAACTTTGGGAGACCGCCGACCACATCGTTAATTAATCAAGTTTAAGGTAAGTAATGGTTAAAAGCTATTGGGTTGAATTTTGGGCCGTGATTAACTTTTCACTAATCCCAAGCCCATAGCAAAAACTATAAATACAGATCTAGGGTGAGTGGTAGATAAGTTGTATTTACTGCACATTTATTATTGTTCTATCGAAAAACGTCATTGCTCTCAAACTGACTTTGACACACGCAAAGGAGGAAATCAAGGAGTAAGGAGTGAGAGTCAGACAGTCGAGAGGAGAAGGATGTGGAGGCATTGGACGACTGAGCCCCTACAACCGAAACACTTTTTAATTAGTATTAGTACAGTAAATTGTCTATTTCTCAACTTTATTTCTTCTCTTAAAAATATCTACATTTTTAATTAATTAGTTAATTTTAAATATATATTAATTTTTCAAATTTTTAACTGAAAATCTCACACATATCTCACATCAAAACCAAAAGTAAATAAAAAATGTTCAACTATTTTTTTAACTTAAAAATTAACTAAATATCTAAAAATGATCGACTGTCACACTTTATTTTCATATTAGTTACTTTGTCGTACTAAAATATGATTATAAAACATAATTTTAAGCACCAGATTAATTATTTATTTTAAATAAAATAAATATACATTTCACTTTTATTGAAGTAGGTTTTATTTTAATTTAAGTAGGTCTCATCCTTTCATAGTATCCATATAACTCTTATAACTTATGTTTTATTGACGAATTCTTATAAAAATGACATTTTTATAAGTTTTCCTTTAAACCTTAATTTATTTAAATTAAATGAAATTATATAAATATTTTTAAGGACTTAAGCCCCTCATCTTAAATTTAAAATATCATTAATTTAAAAAGTAATCCAATTCCATTCAAAGAGTACTATTCAATTTATAAAAATGAAATTGCTTCAAATGGGTCCCAACATCTCACCCACTACCACATATGAATCAACCAAAACCAAGACATTCTTCAAATAACACCTCATCTCAACAACTCCACAGATTTTCACATTCTTCAATCATCTGAACTTTAATTAGTTATTCAACAAATTCTGTCACCCCAAGAATTTGATGATGGAATCAGCATGTTGTTTTTGCTTCTTCTCCAGCAAGAAGAGTGTTGTTGATGGAAGGAATGGCAGAAGCAGTTCAAAAGACGTTCAGTGGGAAAAGAATGATGAGATGCTATCTGACAGAAGCACGTTTTCTGTGAAAGAACAAGAAAAGAGATTGAAGAAAGCTTTGGAAGAGGAAGAAAAGGTTAGCAAGGAAGCAGAGAGGGTTGTCCAATGGGTCAAGCAGGAATCAGCAAAAATTCATCTTTCTGCAGTCAAAACAGTTCTTAATGAACCCCAAAAAGAATCAAATGTTGTGTAAAAGATAATTGTCACTTTCTTTGTTCATTCCTTTTCAGAAATTATTGTACATGTTTCATAGTATTATGGTTTCTTTGTTGGGTGCCTTAATTTTCATTTTAGATCAATTTTTGTGTCATACATAGCTGAGATTTGTCAAGTTTAAATTGGATCGTTTAATAATTTCTGGTTTCTTTAGCTTCAAGTTATGAATCATTGGTATTGTAGAAGGAACTGTTGAAGAAAATATGCCTGTTGACTTTGTCCACAAAGGACTGTGTTGGACTTTTCAAGAGAAAAATCTATATGCATGAAGAATTGAAATTAGACTTTTATACATAATTATTGGTGAAATTAAGAAAGGTTAAAAGAGATACTATCTTAATTTCTCTCCTTTTGAAATCCACTTTTTCTAGCTAGTATTGTGATTTTATAGTTAGTCTACGATAAATTTTTAAAATAAATTAAAATTTGCCAGCAATTTTATTCAAATTAAATTGGCTAAATTTTTTTTATAAATTTTAGCGTGGACAAAAATAATTTATTCTAATATAAATTCGGTTTATTTAAATTGAATTCATGGTGAACTGTTGTTCGTTAGTTTATTTATAAATTCTAAATATTAAATTATATTAAAATATAAAAATGTTAAATATTTTTTATGTTTAAATGTATTTGGATTGTATTATATTTTTGTGATTTTAGATTATATTTAAAGTTTAATACATTTTTATTAAATTTTAATTAAAAAAATTATAATTCTTATTTTGGGATTGAAAAAAAAAACTGTATTTATAAGCTCTAAGTCTATGATATTAATGATTCAAATGTATATATTAATTGTATTTTAACATCAAAAGTATAAATTGACTTTTGTTTATTTTTAATTTTCTTTTTCTTTATAATTATTAAAACGAGACATTTTAAAATTTAAATAATGGTTATAAATAAAATAAAGAAAAAATAGCAAAAAAAAGAAAGGAGACACATAATATTTTAGTTAACACTCAATTTTGTTTGGAAAATATAAAAAAATGAAAAGAAAGAACATTATGAAGATGTAAACTTCTCCTTGTGTTATGATATGTCAGACACATCATACCTATTAACTATATTCCACGTCATGAAAAAAAAAGTGCAACACATTGCTGTGACAAATCTACGACCAATTTTGTTTGGATAATGATTAAAAAGAAAGAAAATCCAACACAGAAAAAGAAAAGTACAAAAGCAAAAGATAAACTAGAGCAATGTTCCCTCCCCTCACCTATTTCTCCTCAGATTTTATACATTTATCCTTCATTTATTAAATTCAAATGAAAATTAATGATGAGTTAATAATTTTGTAACCACCAACAACCCTCCTAACCACCAACAACCTTAAATGTCAATTGATTGTATAAATCCTAAATCTCATCTGTTATCCTACATGCATCCTCTCCCCTCTTCTTATTTTTTGACTTTCATTATTCACTTCTTCACTTGTACTGTTAAATTGTTTTCTAAGTTCAGAATTGTAAGATTATACAGTAGTGGTTGTACCCGTGCTGGTGGTGCTATAAGAGGAAGAAGGCAGTGCTGGTGGTGCTATGGACGGAGGAGGAAGAAGGCAACGAGAGCTCACGGGGTTAGTATATTATTGAAGTAAACACCTTAATCGTCGTTGGAGATGCGGTTAAGTGTGGCACAGTTCGAACGCCGGTTACACAACGCCGAAATTCAAATTTCAGCTCACCTCAACCGCACTTCGAACTGCAGTTTAGGGGTGCTGCACTTCCAAGTGCGGTTTCATTGTGTGGACTTTTTTTTTTACCCAGGCCTACAATTTCACAGGCTTGCTTATGATCATTTGATGTTTATTTGCACATTACATTCTGAATCATCTCTCATTTTTGTTGTTCGTTTATTGTGATATTATAGCTTATGCTTGCTTATGATAATTTGATGTTTATTTGGACATTGCATTCTGAATCATGTCTCATTTTTGTTGTTCGTTTATTGTCATATTATGGCTTATAGTATGTTTGAGTATGTTTGGCATCCAGTTTGATTTACATCATGCGAATGTTAGATTGACAATAAGTTGATAGCAATAAGTTTCAAAAGAGACCTAAGTGTAACTGTTTTGTTACCATTTTTTATCTTGGCTTCATATCCAAGACTCCTTTACCTAATGTCTATTAACTTTGAGTGTTGAGATACCTATTTATATGGCTTTAATCTTTAGATAACATGCTATAGTCATGTTAGATTAGATATTACAAATACATTTCCATAAGGTTACTCATCTTCATTATATTTCTTACTCGTAAATTTGAAGCAACTAAGCAAGATAATCTTCAACTAATTTTTTTTAAGTAGAGTTAGAAACAAAAGTTCA